TACTGGGTGCTACCCACCAAGAGTATATTGTGGCCATGTTTTGGATCCTATGCTTGTGGCCAATACATATATATGATGGAATAAGACAGGGTAAATAATCTAGAAGAGAGCTAGTTTGGTGTAGTGGTTTCTAGTTCTGCCTTTGGGCCAGTCACTCTCTCAGCCCTAGGAAGCAGGCAATGGCAAACCACTTCTGAAATCTTGCCAACAAAACTGCAGGAGTCAACACTGACTTGAAGGCACTATCACCACCACCACCATCATCATGTACTCTGGATTTCTACCCAAAGCTAAATCCAAATTGAAATGATAAATTCTGGTAAAGTGTTAGAAGTGGGAGGAGGCTCAAACATATTCAGTTAGGCTAGCACCTTTTAGAGCACACGTTGTGGGATTAGTCTCAAGGAGACAGTCTACCTCAGTGTTTCTCAACCTCAGCTGGCTGAGGAATTCTGGGAGTTGAAGTCCACATGTCTTAAAATTGCTGAGGTTGAGAAACACTAGTCTACCTCATTCTCCAGGGTCACTCAGGGGAATCAAAAGTGAATCTCAAACCAAATTTGAAGGTTCTTCATACCACTGATAATTTGGGGGAAAGAGAATAAGGGGGCAGATACAAGAGTGTTTTAGGGAAACAAAGTGTTTCCACATCCCTCAATCTATTCATCCCAACTTTATAAGATAATGTGGAAGATAATCTGAAGCATCTGGAATGGATGGATAAGATAACGTTTAAGCCACACAGGCTGTCACTGAAACTAAGATGAAATCATTGCCTAAGTAAGTGTTTTGGGTTGTATGGATATTGTTCTGTATATCTTATTTTCATCTTCAAATTTTAGCTTCTGAGAGATGGATGTTTTTTTCTGGTTTCAGTGTACATTCTGGTACTTTTTTATTAGATTAAATAGGTTTTTTTTTTTTTACTGCCTCCCCCAAGCTGACATTCTTCAGATGCGTTGAGATAACCACTCCAGATTTCCAGCCATGCATCTTACACATGTGACTGTTCCACTCACTATTACTCACACTACAGATTCACCACATCTGAGTTACTATTTTACCAAGCCTACAAACTCATCTCATTCAAGGTTCTGGGCTTTCAGTCTGAATGAGAAGAATCCTGGGTGTGAGTCATCTCTGATACCTACCTAACCATGACCTACAAACAATATGGGACCATAAACAGATGATTGGACAGGGAACACCCTACCCCCAAAAGGGACTGCTTGATGAAACCCACAAGCTTTGTTCTAGAACAGGGAAGGTCAATAAGCCCAACCCTATGGAGAGCTACGTGTGTCTTAACACACAGGTTTAAACTGCACCCACCAATGTCTAATTCTGCAGAAAGCCCCTGGTTAAATGGCAGCACAAATAAATACAATTGCAAAGGGAAATTCAACTTTTTTTAAAAACCAAAAACAGAGTATCGCAGCCTGTTCCTGAAACATACACAGAAATTTAGAAAATAAACTCCTTTTCCATGCCCCCCTCCTGGCACTTAAATTACAGTGAAAAAGCTCCAATCTCTGAACCTTTTTCAGAAGGAGGCAGTCTTAAAGATACACAGCATGAAAGGGAAAAATGGGCTGCTTAACCCTCTGCCTTTTCCTTTGGGAATGGAAAAGCAGAGTGACAGCCACCAATGCGAGATTCAGGGACAGGTGCCACCTGGCCTTCAGCTGTTTTGGACCACAACTCCCATTATCCACAGCACAGACGGGATTGATGAAAGTCAATGTCCAGATGTTGGGCAGGGCCCAAAGCTGCCTGACAGCTTGCAGTGGGAAGGACTGGGTTAAGTTCCATTTCTGCAAAACCAAAAGCGTATCACACCCTTTTTCCACTCCATTTTCCCAAGTGCCTTTTCTTTCTTTTTTTTAAAAAAACACAAAACTTCATCTTTTTAATAACACCAAGATAATTATATCAATTATAAATAATTATTTAAGAAGTACCAAGAGAAAAAGAAGAAAACAGCAACAAGAAAAGAAAAAAATAATAATAAAGCAACAGAACAGCAACAGAACAATGCATATAACCTATACATAGAAGAATAGGACGGTAACAGTGACAAGGGGGCACCCTTGGAAGACCTGAAGGACCAGGTTGAGGACGGATCAGCATGGAGAAAATTTATGTGATCACTAAGAGTCGACACTGACTTGACAGCACATAATTAATCCATCAAGCTTTTATATTGTGTTTTCTTTGCTTAAGCCAGTGTTGTCCAAACTTGGCCACTTTAAGATGAGTGGACTTCAACTCCCAGAATTCCCCA